CCCCCCCCCCCCCCCCCCCCCCCGCCAGACCGTGAGCCACGACCGACGCCAATTGTCCCCAAAAAAAACATGTCACCTTCCAGGTGAAGGTTCCGTCGATCTTTCCGGTGTTGATGTCGTTCAGGCGTGCCCCTTGCATCACCACGGAGCGGATCTCGTTGCCGCTGCGGACCTCGTTGTAGCACTCCTGCATGATCTCCTTCGCGGGAGCGTAGCATGCCGAGTAGACCGACTGTATCGTTGTCGTTGTTGGGGCGGGACGGGACGGAACGGGGGGGGCGGTGGGGGGTCGGGGCAGTGTACGAGCAAAGGATCGAACGAGACAGACCGACAAACAGAAATGGAGCGAGAGACAGGAATAGACAGAGAGAGAAGAGAGAAGGGCAGACCGAGGGAACGACCAGGGTGTCACGGCAGTTGTTGCAATCGCGAACTGAAGGGGAACACCCCCGACCTTCGTTCAGCCTGCGGTGGAAACGAGAGCGAGCTTTAGCGTGCTTTTACCACTCTCGTGTGGCCCACCGCATGAAAAAAACACTACTGTAAGGTAAGTACGTGTACACGGCAACAACGCAACACCTCCTCTTGCCCCTGTGTTAACCCTGCTTGCATGCTGCCCGTGCTTGCTTGCCTTGAACTCGTCCTGTCCAGCCTGGTCGAGGCTCTCGTACAGCTTGAGGATGCCCATCTTGCTGATGCCCTTGGTGATGGGGCCAGTGATGGACTCGGAGGACTGCTTGAATGCCTCCTCGGGGCTCATGCCCTGCACGATCACGTCATCAACCATGGGGGAAACAATCAGAATCAATCAATTTCGTCCCAAACAACGCCATGATCAAAGTAATTCATACTTGTAGTTAACGTCACCACCCACTAGGTAAAACACTCAGCAATGACATGTGTCAACAATGTCATGATCATCAGGAAATAATCATCCAAAGCGATACAATCAGCAGCACACCCACGAACGAACCTACTTCTACATCCACCCGACGGTCTGACCAAGCTGCGGAACACGAGGCGTCGGCGTCATATTTTGCAAAAAAACACCGCATCGTCGCACCGAAGAACAGCAGCACCTCCGGAACGGGGTTTGTCTGCGTCTTCTCACCAAAAGCACTACTGTAGCAATGCGAAACGTCCGCCCTGACAACCATCTAAGACAAATATCTCCGACAAGCCCAATCCTAGAAGCAGAGCACCCCGTGCACAACCCATGCTCTGAGAAAGCACACCCCTTGCCCTCTATCGACACCCCCACCACACCGACTCACCTGCTTGATGAAGCGGCGGAACAGGGTCTCGATGATGCCGTGCACGGCCCCCAGGAGGATGCCGCGTTCTCCGTAGATGTCGCTGCGGTACTCGTCGGTCAGGGTGGTGGGGAAGGAGAAGGGGGAGCCGAGGGCGATCGACCAGCCCAGCGCGATGTCCGTGGCCTTGCCGGTCACGTCCTGTTCCGGAAATCCCGCAGCAGGCGGAGGACGAAGAAGATGGCGAGCGCCAACGCCAAAAAGACACGATCATCCCAAGCAAGGACGACGACGACGACGACGATGGCATGAAACGAAACCATTTAGGAAAAAAGCATTCAAGGGGAGTGGTCGGGGGCGTACTCGTAGTCGAGCGTACGTACGACTTAAAAGTGTACACTTTGGGAGTAGCAGTGGAATGGTGCGTTGGCACGGGCGTTGTTCGACGCTCCGTTGCGATATCATGACGAGGTGTGGTAGGAGCTACAATACTCCGAAACTCATGCCCCGGGTGTTTCAGTGTGCGATTGAGCTGCTCCAGTGTGTGCTGGAATATGAACGGCATGGTGTCCGCAAAGGCAATGCAAAAATGTACACACACAACAGCAGAATAGGAGAGCAGCAACGAACCTGCCTCATCCGCGGTCGGAATAACTCCTCACGGCACCTATGGAAGGAGACAGCAGTAGAGAAATGCAAATATCCTTTACAACGCCCCCTCCTTCCCCCACCTGGTGCACGGCGAAGGACGCGTTGATGCCGGAGCCGTTAACGGTCTTGCCCTGCTCGTACAGGCGGCGGACCGAGGGCCCCATGCCCTTGGGGCACACGGCCACGACGTTGATGTCGTCAGGGAACTTCTTCCCGAGGGCGTCCAGGTGTCCCAGCAAGAAACCGTGGGACAGCCCAAGGGTAGCGCCCTGCGTTCCACGACAAAGATAGTAACCGTTGTGAACGCGGAATGTTTGGTTGGGGGGGGGTTCATCGCTGATGATGTTGTTGTTGTTGTTTCCGTTGGTTGTTAACTGTTNCTGCTCATGGTGTTCGGCATCTTGTGCTTACTCCCTTGCGTACGGATGACAGCTGCGTACGACTTAATTTACTTTCTGGTGCGTTCACTTCCAGAGACAGTATAAGCACTGTGTAACTGCCTCGAGGGTGCTTGACCATTGTAACACAACGTGGTGCGATCATCCCCCTTGCGCGGAGTGAGGGTTCTCCACCCCGCACAACATGATCTACTCGACCACCATTATGGTTGCCGCCAAAAAAAAACGGAGGTAAAAAAAAAAAAAACGGTAACCTTGTTGCCGAGCTCACTGAATTGGTTTGTTTTACAACGTCGTTGCCATGCGACGAAAACCCGATCCCGATGGCAAACACCGATGGGGGGACTTGTTTTACACATCGTTGCCAAGCGACGAAAACCCAACCCCGATGGTAAACACCGGGGGGGAGGGGTGGGGTATACTCAGAATTTGCATGCCCTCGTGGTTCGACCATGACCACGCGTCCTCGAGAGGACGGAACTTGGATTGTGGGAGGGACGGGGTGCATGTATCCCGCTTGGTAACAAAGTAATTACAAAAACGTTGGTTTGACACGCAGCGTGGCGCAGAGGGCCAGCACGAGGATCGACAAGACTCCGCAGTCACGCACGACTTTCGCCGCTCGTTCTCCGCGCGCGCGCGCGTGTGCGTGTCGCATCGTCGTGTATTATATATATACCTCAAGCCGTGTAGCATCGCACATGATCGCCAGGGCAACAGAGCTCAAACGACAGATGACCGATCGCCAACGATTCAGAATACTTGTAACAGACAACAAATCCGACGGCAAAGGCTGTGTTCCCTGACGCGGCCGGCCAACGATATCGCGTCAATCGCAGACACATACCCAGACGTTTTGAGGCCGTTCCTCCGTCCCTCTCTCACCTTCTTGAGCTTGGAGAAGACCTTCTCGTGGTTGGAGGCCATGGCGGAGTCGGAGATGAGCAGGATCACCAGGTCGCTCTCCTCGATCGTCTCGTACCTGTCGCCGTCGCGCAATCCGCCGTGCCAAGGACATAAGATAACCCCATCACGACCACAACTCCCCGGTCCCGACACAAAAAAGTGGGGGGGGAGCACGTCGACCAGGACCGTTTCATGGGGACCCTCGTTGTCGAAAGAATCCCCACCTAACGGATGGGTCAGAAGCTTACCGGATTTTTTAACCCGATAGTATCTCGGTTTCTATGTATCGATTGATTTCGGAGGGAACATCACTGAAGTCATGACCGGGAATGGACAATCTCACGGTTTCAATGGCGTCAACACCGACCCTCGATGAGATCGCCTCGGTACCAACACAGGGGAACGTGTTGGGCAAGGCACATACCATACCCAGAGACGGCACGCGCTGCGGACAGACAGAGAGGTGGAAAACGGAGTCTTACATCTCTCCGAGCGTTCCGTTGTCCTCCGAGAAGCCAACGTTCTGCGCCAGCTTGTAGGAAGCCGACCCCTCCCTGAGGCCGATCTTGACCTGATAAAACGGCAACAGCCGGCGGTATACCACCGTAGGTTTCAACACGCCGCGGAAATTTTGCTTCGATCTTCTTCAAATGGACAGCGTTGGACGTTTTGACAGCAGTTGCGAGGGTGTACTCTCGGCACCACATCTAGTAGCACGTACGTCACAGGCGGCGTGAGGTCAACGGGAACGACTAGCGGTGCTACAAGGTAGGCATTCGCAAGGCCTTGATGGGGGACACAAGTTCTTGTTTTTTTATCGAGAATGGTAAGCACCTCTACCCAAAAGAACACCCCAGCGATCAGTACATAGATTGGACGTGTGTGCTGGAATGGGCCAAAGGACGAATGTGAAGCGCTGTCACAACCAAAGGCGTCAGTAGTCTCAACACAGAGAAAACCGGTCGAGAGGAGAGAACGTCGATTTGTTTGCTTCCCAACAGCAAATGGTGTCACATCCTCGAGATACACATGACTCTACGGAAGGCGAAACCAATGCACCAGCAGCACGCGAGAACGCAAATCATCCACCAGATCAACAGCCGTGTACTGCCGGACTCATCCATGTCGCAGTGATCCCCATGGAACGCCCCTGCACCCCGGAGAAAATTCCAACCCCAGGCCATGCCATCCCCAGCGACATATCCAACCCCTCCATCTGAATGATGAGGATGCTAACAACGAGTCGGCTACCACCTTGACCATAGATGTGATGCGGAGGGATACAAAAACAAAAAATAACTCAACCACGACAAAAGCCGTGCTGATATCCCATACACTACGTCCACATGGGTAAAAACCCGTCCCGCCCATCATCTTATCCCTGCATACCATTTTTCGCCCAAAAATCCGTCCCGTCCCACTCTCCTCACCGGGATGTCGACGCCCGCCGCCTCAAGCGAGTCCCGGATGTTCTGCGCCTGCGCGGGCGCCTGCGACCCCCACCCCACCACCTGTTGAACGGGGGGAAAACGCAAACGCGATAGCGACACAGAGCCTCAAACATCTCGTATGCCGGAAACTGCCGTACGTGGCGATCGCTGGGGATGGATGGAGATACATTCCCCCTCACGCCCCAAAGGACGTTCCTCTGTCACACGCGCAAATAAGCACAGGCAAAAGTGCTAATACTACACTTCCGGTTTGAACCCTGTGGTACCCTTCAACCCAAACACCATCGGTTGTGTGGAGGTTAGGTTGGCCGGCACTTGATCGTGATATGCATACGATGTAACGTAAGAGTAACTTGGTGATTTTTCCGACATGGAGACCACCATGGACACGAAACGTGGTCAGCACTACATGGCAGCAGTTAAGAACACCACAAGCAACAAAAAGAAGGATCGACAGCACCAGCAGCAACACCATCCATCTCTATCTCTACCCAAGACTCAGTTGCAGCAATAAATAGTAGACTTGCCCCGATCTTCTCGATGCCTTCGAAGGCCTTCGGCAAGAGCTCGAACAGGTCGCGGCCTCCCTTGACGACGTCCTCCTCGGTCCCCCCCAGGGAGATGCGCTGCTTCTCGAACACCTTTGTGTCAAACCTGCAAAGGAGGTTGAACGCACAGGCAACAGGCAACAGGTGCACACGGCAGTGTCATGTACCAGTGATCATGCATCTGTGATTCTGTTTTTCGAATGGACCACAACGGGTCTCGTGGAAAATTTTAGGGGGAACCACCGGCGGCTAATGTATGGGTCGAAAGGCAATGGGGTGCGGTTTAATCGCGACATGACGCCGGGTACACCTATATTACGTGAAAATCCAGCTACATACTTGGGCAGAAAACATGCAACACTAGTAAGCAAACTGAGAAAGTATGCACATGAAACACGCTTTTTGACATGGAACGAATCAACTAAACTATTCAACTATGTATAATAGTAGTCCCCGTATTTTGATCGTATCCGAAGCATGCACCACTACACCGTAACCGTGTAGTGCAGGTGCACGCAAAAGTCGGAGCCGCCTTGTAGCATGGACAAGAGGAGAGGAACCAAGCAAGCGAGGGAGGGTACCTCGAATCCATGCCTAGAGCAGTATGCACACATGGAACATCGAGAAGCCTGCGCTGTGGATTTAGCATGAACATACAGCTTCGAAGGATGTTCAACCTCTGACTTGTAACTAAATCAACTCTCAAACGACCAGTAGCCAACGGCGGTGACAGCTGGATGGCAAGGCAGTCCTCCTCGAGACAAGACAAACGCCGCCGCTGCTAGACCCTTCTTTCGACAAGCACTGTTTTCTTCGGCACGATCGAAACAAGGATGGGACCTACAATACGCGGGCACCACCAGCTCGACCGTTTCCAATTCACTGCAGCCACACGCGCGGTATTGCTTGGTTCACATGTCTTCAACGATGGAACAAATACGGCAGCAGTACGTGGCCAAATTCGGAGTTGCCCCAGGAAACCGAAAATGCAAGGGCGAAGCAGCAGCAAAGCTAGCTGCTGGGGAAGACAACGGCACCCAAGCATGAGGCACCCGTTCATGGGCGCGCACCTCCGTGTGACCTCTCCTCGCGTTACAAAGTCATGCGAGGACATGACGCGTGGAAAACATCAACAGCAGGTGTGGTTTGCTCAAGAGTCTGCCCCCTAGTAAGCATTTTTCCCGATCATGCAACAACGATCGAAGAGCCTAGGTCCAATCTCCGATCCAACAACGCCCACTCGCCTAATCCTGACAGCAGAGGCTCTTGGGTGACAGAGCACCAACGTTATCAGACGGCAAGACAATAAACGCAAGGCGTCCGGCAGTTGCACCTGCGCCAACTGCGCAGCAGGCCATCTATCACAGCCGCAATTTGCTGCTGCTGCTCAAGCAAGCACACCGACCACAGCATACCCCACACAAAAACGTCAGCACACCGAAGCCCACACGCCAACAAACGCACGCCGCCTTTGATCTCCAAAACTCACTCCATGTGCACGCCCATCGAAAGCGCCGTCCGTCCAGGGGCAGCAGCGGTGGCAGCAGCACGCGGAGCGCTGACCGCCCATGGCGACCTGGCGTTGCTCATCGGGGTGACGGGCTTCACCCAGGAGCCGCTGGGCAAGGGCCCAGTGAAGGCGCTGGCTCCAGCCACCAGCAACGAGCAGCAGGCAGCGGTCGACTTCATCCTTCTCTGTTTCGCTCTAATGACTGCTGGTGGTGAGGGGGGCGGGCGTTGGACACGGCAACCAAGAGACAGCAGGAGGTGGGAGTGCTGTATCGTATGGCGGCGCATATTTTTTTCATGGGGGTTACGCGTTCGCCCACCCCCCCCCTTCAGCTGTGTTCGTGATGATGATACCAATTGGATGATACAATGTGATTTGTTGTGCCGCCTTCAGGCTAAGGCTGCAGTGTTCATTCATCGTTTCTGGAGCAACTTGGCGAACTAGAGGCAGAGAGCGCATGGTCGTGGTTAGACACAACAGGGGGGAAACTGCTGAACCCTCTCCGTGGGTTAGTGAGAGGAAGCACCGCAGCGGGAAAGGTCGAAAAAAAAATAAAACGTGCTTACCCGCGGGTTTGTTGGTGCGCGTCAAGACGTACATGGTACTACTAGTCTGTAGCTGCTGCAGACTGGCGCCGAGTGCGATAGATGGAACGAAAAAGAACGCATTCGCACACCGGCACACCACACAGAATATATCGTTGGAAACCGTCCTCTGCAACTCCTCCAGACGGGGCCAGACTCGCGCGTGCGCCGAAAAAGGAACGGTTTGTGTTTTCGGTATTACGATGCGTACCACAGCAGCGGTGGCATCAAACGAACGCGCTGAGCGGTGACCAATGAATGGAACACGTCGGTCTCAGTGTTGTTGACAAAACAAATTGCTTAGAGGTCATGCACGGTGCGTATGTGGCCACTCGAAGATAAAGCTTCTCATGTTGTTCGGTGATCCTGCTGCGATGTTTCACCCAAGCTGACGAAGCTTGTGATTAGTGGCAGTATGCGTATCTCGAGGAGTATTCATCCGGCGTTGTCGTCAGTGTTTCGTCGCGTAATGCTATCGTACTGCAGCTACAGTGGTATTGGTCCTGGAGCCCGATTCAGCACATCTTGATTTTTTTCTCGGTCTGGCCCGTCATCAAACCCAACAAATTATATATCAAATGAAAGCTACGGACCATAGCTTTCGAATGCAGCTATTTTCATCTTTCACAACATACCTTCCTCGCGACTTATGTATATCTGAAGTTGGGTAGGAGAGGGCGGCGGGGATGCAAAATGGCTATTTGCGGGACCCCGAGGTGGGTTGTGAAAAAAACAAAACGTGTTTTTGGAATCCTCGTGAAAAACTGGTTCTAGGACGTTTGTTCCGAAACGCAACAATGCCGGGCCAGAACCCGAAAAAAATCAAGATGTAAAATTCAAAAATTGTGCATCTGGACACACTGCTGGGTTGTGCGGGACAGAGACCACGAAAGATATGGACTTCGATGATGAGGACTCACAGGAGTACAGAGACGTGCAGAGCACCCTTCCGGACGGATACACCATTCGCAAGGTCGCCATCGACAGGAAAACCGCGCGCAAGTACCGTCTCACAATAGCCGTTACCTCTGCTGGTGATGCGGACCGGCTGAAGTGGCGCAGCCGATGGATCACAAAGGGGAAACCGCGTGCGCGGCTGGCTTCTGCCGAGCGTGAGTGCATCGATGAGCTGTCGCTCTTGACATGGTTGGACCTTCAGGCAATGAGCGCTACTGCTGAGGGTGTGCCAAGCGCACCTACGCGCGACGGCATGCTGCGAGATGCAGCCCCAGAACCTGGTTCTCTCAAAGAACCTGGCGTTGGAGGCACACGGAAGAGGCCGCGCAACGCATGTTGGGGTGGCACCAGAGAGGGCGCTGGACGAATGAAGGGGAGCGTCGGCAAGAGGGCCACACGGGAGCGAGCTATTGCCTTGCGGCAGCAACTCACGCAGGCCATCCCCGACGCTTTTGAACTCTCCTGTTGGCAGCTGGAGGAAGCCTTGGCAGTGTGGAAGGAGATCGAGCCTGAGCTTGTCGACAAGGCCAGGAAGAAATTCCTGAACAAGGGGTACAGCCAATCGCAGGCGCTGAAAAAGATGAAGCGCGCTCGAGATGCGGAAGCGAGGGTGGTGATGAGGGATGTGGTGGCCCACGATTTTCGTGAAGAGCAGCTGAAGTACTTTGCGAAGGTCAGGAGGGACGCTGCGGTGGTCATCAGCGCATCAGCAGTCGAGGAGGAGGATGATGTGAGTTTTCATAAATGCAATTAAACTGCACAAAG